ATTCAGAAACAAAGACTGTTAAATATTAAGGTGAGTTTCCCAAGGAGAAAGATGTAAAATATTTCTTCTTAAAGGCTACAGTTTCCAGAGAAATTTGTCAGGGTTGGTATAAATAAAGAAAAAAAGATAGGAGTTCCCCCAAAGTATTTTTACACATTCAAAATAAAGCTCTTTGATTGTATTAGTGGGTGTGTCCTTAGAAATATTGAAACTACTTGATTCAAGCTGAACAAAAGGCTAGAAACTAGTTTTAATATTATTGAGTTTTATTGGGTGAGTAATTCACAGAATGGGGCATTATAAGTTCGAAAACAAAAGTAGAGTTATTTTTCAGTTATTTGAAAAATTCCTGACCGTATGATTTCTCCTTATTGATGAGCTGTTATCAGTTTAACTGTAGCCAAACTTATTCCTGAATAAGAGCTGTTTAATACTGATAGAAATCACAATTTCATGTCTTCTGAAAGAATCACGTTTATTAATAGATTACCTGATGTATTGAAAATGTCTAGTTAACAAAATCACACACTCTTTTTGAGTATGGATCTAGTATCTAATGTATTTACAAAATTATAATTGCTAGAATATATATTTTTAAGTAAAGCTTAATTGAGGAAGTTATACATAGCCAAGAAAACTAACATATCTTAGTATAAGATATAAGAAAGTATCTAGGGCTTTAGCATAAAACATAAACTCTTAAGGTGACATTTTTAAAAAAATAGAAATTGGATGATACTCATCAGTCACCCAGAATTTGGAAAATTGTGTTTCCGAGGAAAGTCACTTTACATTTAAAATAATTCTGACAACACACATTAAAAACAAAATCCTGGGCCCTCCCTGGAGGCACAGCGGGTTAAAGCACAGCACTAAGAAGCTAAAGTCACTTCCGCATGAGTTAGATTCCAGCCTTCCCCAGAGGTAACCACATGGTGTGCAGACCTCTCCTGACCCGCCCGCTGCTCCCCTCAGCAGTGTACTTCGTCGATCTGCCTGTTCTGCTCCCCACTCTGTCTCTGGTGAAGCCTCTCGCTGCCCCTGAGCCACGGGCCTGTACCCCAGTTCTGTATGAACAAATAAATAAATCTTTAAAAAAAAAAATCCTTTACTATGGAATGCAGGCAAAAAAAGTTTAAGATGTTATATCATACTAAAGGTGTTGAGTTCTGACACAGAAATTCAGTAGTTAGAGTTCATTGTCCCTGCTTTGTTATAAAACTGAAGAATTTGATTTCTTCAATCTATTGAAAAATTGCTCACCTCTTTCTATATCTTATTTGTAATCATGATCTTTGTATTTTATAGTAATATTCATACTTACTTGTAGTGAGATTTTAGAAATTTTTATTCTGTACCAGAAGTAACAATAAACAGATAATATTTTAAAATAGTAATAAAAAGTTCAAGAAACAATAGCTAAGAAAAAATTCCTTACCTCTTCTAGTCTCAAAAATGTTGTGATAGATTTAGGGATAGCTTTGTCACAATTTTCAGAATTTGGAAAAAACTACAAAAAATAGATTTTTATAATATTTCAGTATTTTATGTGAAATTAGATGTGTTGCAAGATAACCATGTTTACTGGAAAACATTCTACTAGTCTATTTCTAATGTAAACACAATTACAATATAGTTATTGGTCCCATTTTTCACCTTCAAGTAATACAAAGATATTCCATCAAACTAAACAATGGGGATTCATAGGGTCCACAATTCAGCAAAAAGAGATAGATGTTTTTTTAGTCCACTCTTTCTGAGATTTTGGTACGCTTTCTTTAATCTGTAATCTGGGGGAAATAATTTATCATTAAAGAGATACCTATCATTAAAGAATCATAAAAATTACTTCAATCCTAAATTTTATCTTCAAGATGTGCTGTACACAACAGTTGCTAAGGAAGAATGCCCAGCTGTGTTAGCAACATCTTGGTATCAACAGAAATGAGGTCAAGCCATTTGTTACATTGTCAAATTGGCATATGTAGTTATGCTTGTGTTCATGAACTGAATCACAAGAGAATGGTTTTGATCATTGAAGTCAATATCCACTCACCCTTACAGTGCAACTGAGAGATAAAGCAACAGCTTAGTAATTTTCCTTTCTTCTTTATCTTTCTCTTTCACCTCCTCTCTTCCCTCCCTCCCCCCATTTTCATTATTTCTTTAATCTCTGTAATTATTTCATGCAGATAATAACAAGAAGAGACTTCATGTACTATATTTTTAAGCTTTTTGGCCAACAAAGATATCACTATAGATATAGATAGATAGATGATAGATAGATAGATAGATAGATAGATAGATAGATAGATAGATAGATAGATAGTGTTGTATATTTATTTATTTGCTTAAAGAATTTACTGTTGTCTAAGTTTTGTATTCATTTTAATATAATTCTAGAAGGAACATCAGAGGTATCATAGTTTCTTTCTGGGGAAAGACAAGAGGGAGGGGGTGGCAGAACAGCAGATTTGAGTCCTTCTGTTGTCATAATACAGTTTTTACTCTTCCATCTTTGGAGCCAGAAGAGTGGTTAGTACTTATCACAATCTGTTATAAATATGTCATTTATTTTTATAGCATTTCACTTCATTTAAGAAATACTTTGAGACTTTTCACTATATTTCATTAATTTGAGGTTCAGAGAGCAATTTTGTTCCAAGGATAAGAAGTGTTGCATAACAATGTTCAAATATTTCTGATCTCTCAATACAATGAAAAGGAAAGCAGAGCTAGCATGCAAAGTAAATACACAAATTTAAACTATAAAATGAATAAATGGTGACATGTTGAAATGGGGCATTCCTGGAACCAGAGTCTAAACAGTCAGTGCCTCTAGATAAAGTCTTGGGCTTTAAAATCCCTATATTCTGAGGAGGTTGCAAGGCCAGTGTTGAAAAACTTCCATTTGGGACTCCAGATAGCTAAATAATATTTGCCATATAAAGTTCTTGTTTACTGACGAAACAAAAGCTTATGTACTGTTCCAATAAAAACATGTAGAGCTATCATTTAATGGGTCTTTTCTTTCTTTTTAATTAATTTGCCAGCCATTTATATACATAAATAAAAATGGGGTTACAGCTTTGCTCCTCTGTATTTACACGTTTCACTCAACCTTCACCAAACTCCCAGTGCCCAGTCTCTTCCCTTCCCATAGTGCCTCCTCCCTCCCTCCATATTCCCTTGGGTAACCAGTATATTTTTTAGTCTAATAATTGTTTCTGCTATGCTTTTCCAATATGTTTTTTGGTTATTTATATTCCACAGATAACTAAAACTATCCAATAACTGTCTTTCACTTTCTAACTTATTCTACTTAGTGTAATCACTTCAAAGTCTATTCAGAGTATTTTTGCTAACTTAGTAAACAGGCACTTTTAAGGCCACTTCTATTGAAGAAATTGATGTTTTGATATTACATAACTTATATGTGGTGAAGTACCAGTATGAAACAGAATTCAATCTGAGCATGTTTGTTCCGACAACTTAGAGTATAGCTGCTAACCTGAAATACTGACAGTACCAATAGTGGAAAGTTGACTTTCTCTCAGGTAACCACCTAATTCTAATTTAAACTCTCCATGTGTTGACTGACAGGAGAAATACTTTTAAATTTGTGGGAGGAAAGCTATATTCTTTGTTGCAACTTGAGAATTACAAACTAGAGGTTGGACACAGAGAAAACTTCTCTCCCCACATTCTAAAATGAGCAAAAGCCAAGCACTCATGCTCCTCTGACCTCTAGAATTTTCGAATACTCATTGGAGAGAAATCAGGGGAGATCAAGGATAATTCATTCTTTTATAATATTATGGCAGAAATAAAAGCCCTGTAATCCATATGACAGTATTTCAAAAAAAGACTTTTTAAAAATATTTAGGACTCTTTTTCTATAAAGTCAATATTATAGATATATTGTGTTATTCATGGCAGGTTCTACTTCTTTAATTAAAGTGTGCATTTTAACACATTTGGATGTATGTACTTGGTGAAATAAACACCAACAATGAGCAGATAAAATGACTCAATAATTGATTGGTAAACACCATGTAACTATGGAATAATTATATGCCCTCAGAATTATATAGTACTTATAGTTGACATTATTTAGGAAACCTAAGAAATGAACTTGTAATTTGTACTTATCAAATTTCAAGTCCTGTTATTATATAGAAGTGTCCTATCATTAGATACCTGGTCAGTAATAATCATGCAATTAGTTATATATATTAACCCTCAATGCAAAATACATTAAGATCACTGGGATATCAAGAAACAAATTGTCACTTTAACACATTTAGGAAGGAAAAGAATATGTTTTTATATGATTCCTATTATGTGCCTGTAATCATCCCATATGTCCCTTTATAAGCTCTCTGGCTTTTTCTTATTACTCAGATATATCAGCCCTTCAACAAGACATGTTTCATCTTCCTTTCTAAAGTGTCTCTGTCCCAACTCATGCCCAACACCGTCAATCACATCACTCTATTTTATCATTGTCATAACACTTCTCACTCTCTGAAATGATCAAATGGTTGTTTATTTTAAAAATACCTTTTGTTATCTATTAGGATAATATAGAATACGCCATGTTCTTCACTAAAGAAGACAATTTACCTACTGAATAGCTCTCTTAATTATTCAACACCATAATTGCAGGGTATGACTTGCTGGAATACCAATAATACATCAGGCTGTTTGTTAGTAAATTATTTACTGTGTACCAATTTGTACCAATTAGGTGCAAGCAGGCCTCTATCACATGAGTCTTACATGCCAAAATACTGATTCGATTTACCATATACTAGCAAATTTGTTTCCAAAACAGGTATAAAATAAAATTTTTTAAAAAATTAAAAACTGAACTTAATTCAAACATACAATTTGCTTCAATACCACCATATTTTTTAAGCTATTTCTGTCTACTTTGCATCATATCAGTGTACACTGACTTGTTAACTATTACTAATCATACACATTTATTTCCACAGACAACAACATTAATTGGGCTTTTGAAGACAGCTCGGCTCCTTCGTCTAGTGAGAGTGGCCAGGAAACTTGATCGCTACTCAGAATATGGCGCCGCTGTTCTAATGCTCTTAATGTGCATCTTTGCCCTGATCGCCCACTGGCTGGCTTGCATTTGGTATGCAATTGGGAATGTAGAAAGGCCCTACCTGACCGACAAAATCGGATGGTTGGATTCTTTAGGACAACAAATTGGGAAACGTTATAATGACAGTGACTCAAGTTCTGGACCATCCATCAAAGACAAATACGTCACAGCCCTTTACTTTACCTTCAGCAGTTTAACCAGTGTAGGATTTGGGAATGTATCTCCTAACACCAATTCGGAGAAAATCTTTTCAATTTGTGTCATGTTGATCGGCTGTAAGTAGACTTCTCTTTTGTTATCTATTAGGATAATGTAGTAACACAAAATTGCTATCTCTATTACATTTAGAAGCAAGGGGAGAAATTTCTAGAAAATTGTGGCACTAATGGAATTACATGCATGGATATTCTAGAAAATCTGATTCTCTCTTATGAAAGGGAGACCCTAAGGTCTTTCAAGATCTCAGGAAACCATGAACATAGAACAGGAATGATGTGTGCCTTAGCATCAAAAGTTAAGCCTTGCACTTCAAGTTTTCTTCTGAAAAGCAAATGTCTATGATTTATTTTTGGTTATTTTTTATTTCATGTTGAGGCCAGGTTAGAATGGGAACGATTAGTTTGCATTGCAATACTAGATGCATATATAACATACATACTTAATACACACAGATTATTATGAATGTTTATTTTATATATCACAATCAATTATAATGAATATACCCACCATATAAATGTATACATATGAATACATATCCCCTGTTACTAACTAAAGATTTCATTTGCTGCGACATTATGTAAAAGCTAAAGTAAATGACATTTATCCTGTAATGGAAATATGTTGTGAACATCATTTATAAGGAATATTCTTTGTATTAAGAAAAAAAACTGGGTTACAATAAAGATTTTTTAATATTAATATAATATTATTTTAAAAAATCAAATTTGGGAATACCAAAGATAAAACCGTTTTTGGTACAAGGAGCAATTGACAGAAGCATGATGAATTTTTAAAACTCAAGAGCATCATCCTTAGATTGCATACAAAGCTGAAAATAGAACCAGAGAATTGGTTCTTGACTGTTCAAAACTTAAAATTTTCAAAAAGATTTATAAAACACTGATGATCAACTGGCTCCCCACTTAGGAATTCATTACCACTTAGATTGATTAAGAGAAATACGTAGTTATCATATGAATTAGTTTAAATAAAGAAAGTGTAGTTCATGATCTCAATCCAATCATTAGTCCCTAAATTAAAGAACTTTCAGATTTTTCCTTCCTTTCTTCTTCCCTACCTTCCTGCTTCCTGTGCTTCTTTGTCTTTGTTCTCTTGTAAATGTGACACTAAGATATTTCTATTGATTCTTTAAGAAGAATACTTGTTTACTGCATGAATTTTATCTTTTAAGAACAGAGAGAATGCTCTGGTTAATTAGGGTTGCCTAAGGCACATCTGTATTCCACAAAACATTCTTAATTTTAATAACAACTTGGTTCTTCTGACCTTAATCAAAATGGGATTAGATGCAGCTTAATGTCTCACAGGAAAAAGTTTACAGATATTTCTGGAAAATTCTTTTATGACCTTATATAAGAAAAAAGGTATAATTAGGATGTCAAACTTAACAATAGTAAAAGTGTCCTGAAATTTGCTTAGCCATTTTGATGTATATAGATGCATTAATCTATCCTTGATATTTCCATTTAGATTCAACCATACAAATTGATTAGCTTTCTCCTGATTTTTTTTTAAATGTTAAGTATATACTCTTAATATAAATAAACTGATTACCCCCTTTAAAATGAAATTCAGAATTCTATCAAGTAAACCTTAGCTATTGTATATGTGCTAATCCTAGTTACAGTCCACTCGCTTAATTAACAGGTCATTCTCACTACCCTGAAATTTACTTAAATGTACTCTTCATTTTTTTTTAATGTAATCTTCATTTTAAAAGAAAAATTTGAAGTGAAGTTATAAGAAATAAAGCATTCCATTATCCCTTCTAATGCAAGAAAACTAAAAATTAAACATCAAAGATTATCATCTAACTAAACAATTCCAGTACTTACAGATACATTTCTTAGAGCTACTATTTACAAAGGCAATTCACACGACCTGGAGAAGAGGAGGCTATGGCAAAGGAAAACTCCAGAAACTTGTAGAGGCATAGCCCCTAAATTCTACTGTTCAATAAAATTGTACTTTAAAAATCAAGGTTCAGCCACATGCTGTCTAAGCAAAACAATTTAAAATATAAAGACACATTAAAAAAAAAACACTAAAGATGAGACATTTTGAGGAACAGTATTGATTTCAAAGTAGACTTCAGAAAAGTACTGTAACCTGAAATAAAGTAGCTAAACACTGCACTCCTCAAATGTGTATTCACTCAGTTACAGAGCTTTAAATGGCATCAGGCAAAACCTGACAGAACATAGACAGATTCACAAGAAAAATCCAATATTATAGTTGGTGATTTAAAAACTCTTTTTTGGCATATTGTGGAATAAGTACACAGAAAATCATTAAAGAAATTGAAGACTTGAACAATACTACCAATTAAATTGACAATGACACACTTTTTCCTGCCCAGGGTATATAAATCACTGATCACATGTTTACTAGAAAGTTCCCAAATTGATTAGCACATTTCCAATAACTAAATCATTTAAAAAAAAAAAAAAAAAAAAAAAAAAACAAGGCCCTCCCTGGTGGCGCCTCGGGTTAAAGCACAGCACTGAGAATCTAAAGCCACTTCCCCATGAGTTCGATTCCCACCTGCCCCGAAGGTGACCACATGGCGTGGCAGACCTCTCCTGATCCGCCCACTGCTCCCCTCAGCAGTGTACTTTGTCGATCTGCCTATTCTGTTCCCCACTCTATCTCTGGCGAAGCCTCTTGCCGCCCCTGAGCCTCTGGCCTGTACCCCAGTTCTGTATGTACAAATAAATAAATCTTTTAAAAAAAAAACAGAAAATTAGTAGTTTTCATCAAATGGAAATGACAGTTAAATGTATCAAAATGTATATATAAGAAGTAGCTAAAGCTGTATTTAGAGAGGAACTGGTAGCTTTAAGTGCTTTGCTTAATAAGAAATGTCTGAAATCACAGATCTAGGCTTCTGTCATAAGAACCAGTGAAAGACAGCCCATTTAAACCTAAGTAAGAAATAATAGTAAGTGATAAGAACAAAAATTAATAAAAAATATTTAAAACAATACAGAATGAAGTAAATTCTACTTTTTAAAAGATCAGTATAATTGATAAATGTCCAACTAGAGTGGAGAGAAGACAATTGGCCAAACTGTTACACAACAGAAAAGATATTACTGCAAAGCCTAAAAAAATAATAAAAGGATGTTAAAATAATATTATAATGACTTTATCATAATAGTTATAATAAATTTAGATGAACGGCACAAATTCTTTGACTAATTCAATTTACTAAGACTAAAACAAATAAAAACAATCCTGAGGCATAAAATAAAAATTGATAAATTGGATTCCATCAAATTAGTGGCGTTAACTTTTCAAAGGACATTATTAGGAAAATAAATAGGCAAATGATAGATTAGAATTTTCACAAACTTAATTCTCAAAAAGGGTTTGTATCCAGAAAAATGTCAAGAATTCTTACAACTTCATAATATGAAGACAATTCAATTTTAAAACAAGCAAAACTCTCTATACGGAAAATTCTGACTTCAGATGCAAAATACATACAAATATATATGTATGTATATATGTATGCTGTCAACTTGCTTTTGACTATTTTATGACAGTTGATAGGCATAACTAAATACTATATGCAGAACACAATCATTTTGGCTTCACTTTTGTTCACATCCTTTAGTTGCATTTGCTTTCCAAAAAAAAAAAAAAACCCTTGCCTTCAGCCTTCATTATTTAAAAAGCCCTCATCATATAGTTTACTAAGAGAAATACATGGCATTCCCAAATCCAACTATATATTTATAATCCAGATGTTTGTCATGTCAATGAGTGGAAACATCTGTTTATGATACAAATTAAGGTTTTGTTTCACTTTTATGGCACTTTTAATATTGGATATAAAACTCTAATATTAATTAAAAATGAAATAATGTTACCCCTAATTCTTTTCCAAATAAGTATGTAGTTTAGGTACAATAACTAGCATTGTATACCCACTAATTGAATGATGGGAATTTAATCTGAACTAATTTCCTGAGAACATGATAGGTACTTTGAAGATGTAAAAGCTGCATAAATATTTCCAGCACTACAGTTAGGAAGAGTAAAATATGTTGTTCACATGAAACTCCTTGGATCACAGGAATCAGATTCAGGCAAGTATTGCTAACTCCTTCTTTAATCAACTATTCACCTATTCAAATTAGGCTCATGTCATTTTATGTCAAAAGTTACAACCTAAATAATTCCTTTATCTTACTGTGAGTTGCTGTCTGTCATACAGCCCAATTTAGCATCAATACAGATCTCACCATTTTCCCTTCCTTTAAATGGATGTAAACAAGGGCTCTCCCTTTCTCAGGAGCATTCTCTGACTTGGAATATTTTTGATAAACAACAACTACGGAAGTCAAGAGACATAGATAAGATGGGAAAGAAATCAAATAACTGATAAGTCATATTAAATCATCTAGCCTGAATCTTCCCTGATCTAATTTTAAAATGATAGCAAAGCTTATGAATACATATTTGTAAAATGGGGAGAGGTGAATACATGTTTGTAAAATGGGGGGGGGGAAATGTGTTGGTTGGAGATCATTTAATTAAACACTTTGAATAGTTCATTTTTTCCCCACCTGCTTGGTTTCAGTTCCATAAATAAGTGGTTAGATCCCCATGAGGTCTAACACATGCCCAAAGTTCAAGATCAAGATGTATGTGATGATGTAACTTTCTACACAAAGTATAACATTTTTCTAGGATTATTAGAAAATAAAAGTAAATGATGAACTGTAAAAAGCAAAAGATAAGATATTTCTAATGTTAAATCATAAAGATTTAGGCCAGGATAGCACTGAGAAAGGATAGTCCACTCAATGCACATAGCAAAGATTATCTAACACTTTCTTTTTTTCATAGGTAAAAAAAACAAAGATGTGTTATGTGTTTCTCTACAAAAACAAAGCCATTAGCGTCACACTTTATACTGGAGATATCTATTTCTCAAGTATAATAAAGTTCCATTTCATTCATTTAGAAATTTATACAAATGAACACTTTAAGGAAACTATGAGTTACTTAAACAATTTATTATTCCTAAGTAAATCCAAAGTATTCAAAGTAATCTTAATATTTATAATAGATTTTTAATATGATAATATTAGGCTTCAGTTGAGAGGAGGTGATGTCACAATGTAAAAATTAAAATATAATTCAAGTTAAAAAACTTTTAAAATCCCTAAAAGATGATTTACCTTATGGTATATCTCCCACCAGAGGACATGTCTATGGTATATCCCATAACATACTTTATTATCACATAACAAACAACATATGTATCCTAAATGCATTTTATATATGGTCATATTCCAGATCACTGGTTGACTTTGTAAACTTATTTTGTTTATTTAGAATCCATGTGGATTTGGATCCTCTCACCTCTCCAAATATCAAGATTCTAAAATTGACAGTATTATCCCCCTGAGTCAATGCTATATTCGCACTACTGGTTTGGAATAATAAAAAACCTACATACTAGAGGTTCTGACAGACATAATGTGATCAAATGTAGTTTTCCCTCATAACAGTGTGTTTTATTCAATCCAGCACTAATGTATGCAAGCATTTTTGGGAATGTATCTGCAATTATCCAAAGACTATACTCGGGGACTGCCAGGTACCACATGCAGATGCTGCGAGTAAAAGAGTTCATTCGCTTTCACCAAATCCCCAACCCTCTGAGACAACGACTAGAAGAATATTTTCAGCACGCATGGACTTACACCAATGGCATAGACATGAACATGGTATGTATTTCTTTTTTCCAAAATGAAGCACTGCAGGCATTATAGCTACAAATAAAATAGAAAAACCAGTTTCACCAGCTTTGAACCCTTTGCTTTTGTTTTCCTCTCTTGGACGTTTATTTTCTGCCCTGGAGATAGTGTCTCATTCTCAATTCATGGCATTGCATGGTGCTAAATCTAGTTATACTGTGTGGCAAAGGCATTATAACATGATGCAAACTGATATAACTGTAGTACAGTTCCCACTTATGCTTAGAGAAGACCATTATTAAGCTAAGACCTGGGCTTTCACCATGTGGTCAAACTGCCAGCATGCAAAAAAAACAAAAAAAAAAAAAAGTATTAAAATCTGGCAAGTAAACAGCAACAGTACTGATGACCCCAGAGATTCAATGTTAGCACCTTAAAAAAAAAAACAAAAAACACACATTTTGAAGATTTGAAGGCCAACTTAAACACATTTTATGGTTCTGTTAATGACCATTTTTCTCTATTTTAAACAATAACCATGTGCTGTTTTACTGTACCTGGCTTAATGAATCATTCTATTCAAGAGGAAAATATGGATACTTTCATAACTTTTGAGCAAATTCACCATCAGTGATCACTATTTCAAGCCCTTCCCTTCTTCTACCAATCCTCAAAAATCAACAGTTAGTAATATTACTATGATTCAAAAAATACATTTTATTATTAGGAGAATTAAAGACAGGTAAATTTATGGACCAAATCTAAATTCTATGGCATATCATACATCTTTAAAAAATTAAAAATAGGGTGCTCTCCCATGTAGCTATACCTCTATTGGGCCAGGCCCTATTTCTAAGTATTCCTTAGAAAATAAAGCTACTCACATTAATGACATCAACAGCACGATACAATTTTTATTTGTCATAAAAGAACCTGTTCAAATTAGATCAACATTCTATTATTTGACCAGTAATGTTCTAACAAAAAAGCAAAGGTTCAAAATTAGCAATCAAGGTGCAGAAAGCACTGTAATACTAATTTGAAAGATTTATGTATATGTGAATAAGTTGATCATAACTTGTGTGTGGTTGATTTGACTGAGAATAAGAAATGACATTTTAAAAGTTTTAACTTAGAGAACTAATTAATCATTTAGCACATTTTATACAAAGCCATAACTGAATGCATGAGTTATATATAATTATCTGAAAGCTCCTTGTAAAAGTTCATTGATAAGTTGATCTCACCAAGATAATTCTTTACTCACAAGAAACCACCTATATTTTTTATCACTTTTATATATTTCCTTCTGTATTATTTAAGGAAAGTATCAGCATTCAGAAATTAGTGGGTATTCTCTAATGCTGGGTTGGCTAAAGCAGTGTCAAGAACTTTTTTATCAAAACACATGTCACTCAATTTGGTTGTTCCATACTGCCAGAATATTTCAATAACAATAGTAAAATAATTATTTATTGTACTTCCCCGCTCCATATAACTCTACTTTTGTAACCATTTTTGTGATAAAGTCTATTTTGTGACAACTATTTACTTTGTTTAACTCTATTACCTATGAATATGGTTTATATACCACTTTGCCTATTTACAATGTACTTATGAAAGATTTATCTCTTTCCTGTCTGCTTCACACCTTAATACATGGAATCACAACACCCACCGGTAAGAACAGGAGGTATTTATATCCAATTTAATTCTCGTGTAAATTGTGGAGAACACCCTTGTTATCTGTCAGGTTTAAATTTGTTAAATGATTACTAGTAGTAGTTCTGATCTTTTTTGCATGATGTAGCAGAGGAAATACAAAGCAAGAAATTGGGGAAGAATACTTGGAAGAGGCCAAGCACAGAATAAAAAGTTTTAACACTTAACTTGACCTCTAAAAGTTATTATTATACAATTTCCCATTCCCCACAAAAAGTGAATTCTCTGTCCCTCCCCCACTTTGGTAAAGGTTATGGGTATACGGTTTGCATTAGATAATTGTCATAAGAAAATGTCATTCTCTTTCATCATCCTCTATTTTCATGATGTAGATGCTTTTCTTTCCTCTCATCTGCACGCCTGTATTACATGACCCCGGAGTGTGTGAGCTCTAAACCATGTGCCACTAAGTCTTGCATGTGGTTTTGAGAGCTTGACTTTGCACGAACTTCTAGTTTGTACACAGTGTCTACATTTCTCATCTTGTGACTGCAAAGTGAGTAAAATTCAAAATGCAAGATAACTGAAAATGGAACAACAAATGGAAGAAGTTTGATAATAATGAAATATAATGTGCAAAACTAAAGTTGATTAGAGAAAAGCAACTGCACTCTTAAGCTGTTGTGAGGTCAAAAGAAAAAAAAATCTAAGTGGATTTTTTTTTTCCTCCAAAGCCATATTATCAAAATACCTGTTTTGTTAATTTAAAGTGATTAAATTTATTATTGTGATAAAGTAATATAAAACTGTTATATTTTACACCAGCATTCTGTTTTATTTTATTTAGATATAAATGTACATACAAATTTTCATGAACATTTCAGATGGTCACTTTACCATTCAGCCATGACTAAGTGAAATACAAGGTTTTCAATCACTGTATCAATTGACCTAAAATTTTCATAACCTAAAACATTTGATCACAAATTGTAGGGATGAGCTGACTTAAAACCTGCAGCTATATTCTTCATTCCCTACATCTTTTGATTTTTGTGAAATTGCTATTTCCAGAATGTTCCAGAACCAAAAACATTCTGGAAATACTACCTACTCCCTTTTAGTTGAACCAAGTGGTTCAGAGTGCAAGAATAAAAGGGTTAGGATAATGAAGCTTGTGAAAGAAAGGTATTATTTTGCATTTGATGTCAGGTTTTGGAATAGTAAATATCTCAAAAATGTCTAAGATCCTTTCTGGAAAGCTTGTTCTCCAAAAACTTAACTAATTAGGAGAGAAGAGATATTTTTTCTTAAACTAAGACTGAAGGCATCTCAAGGAATTTTCCCAAATAAAAATCATGTTCTCACCTAATCTGAAACTTTCTCATATTATCCATATTGTGAGTTACATTGCTAAGAAGTGAAAATCATTTTCCATGTCAGTATAGATTCAAGTTTCCTCATATCACACATAAGAGCTTGACTTGAATGAAAATTTATACAATGAATAAGAGCCCCGATGCATCATTTTGGATTGAAAGAAAAAAGCCATTTTTTGCAAAAATTACTCCACCATTTCAAATTATGTTGCCATGGAAGAAAAACTCTAGTTAACATTTAATTCAAAATTGTATTCTTTGCCTAAAAATGCCCCACTCAAATATACATGAATAGTAGAAAGAAATATGGCATAACAAATCAGACAAACCAAGCATTCACTCTTAAATTTCCACTAAACTTGGACAAGTCACTTAACTTCTCTGCAGTTTCCTTAAACTTGTTTCAAATATTTTCAAAATACCTAAACTCAAATATGCCAAAGGTATAAGACAATTATTATGGGAATTTGTCTAATTGATAACTGAGATACTGTGTTGCCCACTCTTGCTCTCTTACTGTGGAATTGATTCTCCTTTATGATATATCTTCTCTACATAGCCTATCACTTAAAACCATTAGCAAGCTGAGTGGTAGCATTGTTAGTGGAAGAAAGCTGAAAGGGACCATTTCAAATAAAGACAAAGACAACAGTGAGGCAAATATGAGGGCGAACACAAGACAAAATTAAGGCAGTTAATACAGAAACAGGAACAATCAAGTTTATTTTTGGAAATGTTAACAGGAAAAAATTGAGAGACAGAGAAAGGAGTTGGAAGAAGGACATAGGAAGGGGGAATAACTACCTCAGCAGGATAGTAGACAAGTTTTTCTTAAAGTCAGAAAATATAAAAGAAAGGGTAAAAAATGGTTTTGAGGAATACAGGAAAAAACTTAAAGGGGCTTATACAACATGGTCCAGTCTCTTTGATCTAGCAGAGATTAGATGAAGGTTGCAGAAAGAAGGAGGCATAGGATAGGCATTTGATTTGAAAAGGGGGAGAATTTTTTTTGCGATTTGACTCAATCAACCTCATAGATAAATATGTTTAGAGTCACAGAAAAAAATGTTTACTATTAACACACTTACTTGCCTACTGCAGCCATAAGGCATTTGGCAATAGGTGCTTACGAATATGGAACATGCCTTTTCTTTGTTTTACCGACTCTGTATCCTAAGTCTCAAAAAATAAAATAAGCAGAAAGAGCAATAAACACCCTCTGAAACCCTCAATATAAACAATATCAAACTGAAGAGCCTCAGATGTTTTCAGGTCACAATGGTACGTGCTTCATCAGGTTTCAGAAATAAGGGTGGTCACTTCACTCTAGGCTCCAACCATCATCAGGGAGGATTTCTGTACAGCTGGCACCATGCTGCTTCTGTGCAGTCAGTTCAGCAATAACAGAATCTGATTGTTAGCTCCTGAGCCAGGGCTACGAGGGCAGCATGACCTGGGGTTTTATACATGACAAATGGTCATTGTAGAAACACTACACTGAGGCCAGGAAAATATTACCATGCTTCAATTTATCTGCTTATTAATAGCAGTTTTCTTATAGTAGTGAAAAGGTGGAAATGATGTCTTAAATTGTTTTTAAAATAATGGTACTATTAAAAAAAAAAAAAGGACCCTAGAGTGTGATTTCTTATGCTGAAAGTATAATGTGTTTCAAAATACGTTTTTTGAAATGGTAGGCTCACAGGTAGTTCAAATTCCATTTGTTTTAAGATCTCTTAATATTCAATATGGGTTTATCCAACAATAAAAAGCCTATAAATCATCAAAGTTCAATTTTAAAATGTTCTTTGGGGTTATCTTTAATTCCCTTTTAATTCAAATCATTGTAACTTGTCATCTATCAAACTTAATGGAATCAAGCTATACATAATTTCTTCCAAAAAAAAAAGTCCAGTATTTTTCTCAATGGAAGAATAGCCTGAGATATTCCAAGTGACCTGGGAATTTATATTGACAGTAAATATTTAAATG